CAATCATTTTAGTCAGATGTACGACTAAAAATGTGAGGGTTTAAAACTGTGTTCTGTAGTTGCACAGTGGGCTGTGCTGTGGTCGTCGTGTCTGGGTCGGGATCATTTCCACTTTGTCTTTGGTTGCAGGTGGACGTGGCTCTGGCTGCCGAGGAGCTGAAAACTGTTAAATTAGAGATGAGTCAGAAGCTGATGGAGGTGAGCGGCGAGTTCTTTTATTTTTTAACCTTTTCTCTGTCGTCAAACCCAAAGTGATTTAAAACAATAAAACTATTGTTACATGGAAATCTGTGGCTTTTTGTGCATATGTGAACATTTGATTCTCTTTAAAATCGTGCCTACAGAAAAAGGTGCTGCGCTCAAACAAGGCATGAAATCCACATTTTCTGTCACTTTTAACTTTTAAATGAATAAAAAATAGTCACATGTTGACCAAGTAGCAGTAAAGTCAGGGCTTCCAAATTAGATGCCAGCGGTTAGAACCTTCATAGAGGGTGACAGATGGAACCCGCCATATTTAAACCTCGTGTTTTGTCATCATGCAAAGATCTAACGTGCTCAGTAAGGCATTTAGGATAGAGGCTGTGGATGCCTATGAGTCTGACAAGATTGTACAAACATCTCCAAATGATTTAAAGCACATCACTCCACTGTGATGAAAATCCTGTGGGAGTGGTCTGGAGCTCACAGGACTGCCTGCACGTCCAGGACTGATCAGCTCAACGAGTTCACGTCAGTTCTCTAGGAACCCTGAACGTTTAACATATGATCTGCAGGTAACGTTTTATTTGCCAGTGACCATACAGACAAAGAGCAGGCCTTTTAGGGTAACGTGCTCTGGACAGATGAATTTAAAATAGACACTTTTCAGGAGTGAATCAAACATCAGTCAACAGCAGGAACTGGGCAGCTTAAAGTCAGCGATTCATTCATTTATAAACTCTGCATCATATAAAAGAACCACTGGAAGCAATCTGTCCTAAAGTTACAGCTGAAGCAGAAGTGATTCTACGAACACAACAAATCCACCAAGGAATGGTGTCAAAAGAAGAGATGGAGGATTATGGGGTGGAAAAACAGCCCACTAAAGATCAGGGGGAGGTTTGAAACAGGCTGTGCACGCAGGAAGACCCTCCAGCATCTTATACCTGAAGGGATTTTGCATGAAAGAGCGGCTAAAACAGATGATGTCAGAGTCTGACCCCTCAACAATTTCCCTGAGGTCTCCACCAAAGGGATCAATAAAGTTCTATTCTATTCTATTCTATTCTATTCTATTCTATTCTATTCTATTCTATTCTATTCTATTCTAACACCAACAAGAAGGTGTTCCTGCTGAAGTAGGCAATCAAAGCTTCTGAGGTCAGGACTTTCTGACAGGAGGATATTCCATCTGGTGATATTTACGCTGAATGAAGGTTTAAAATGTACATAATGCTTGTTGTCCATCACCTCTAGGATCAAATGTTTGCTTATTATGTCAAAAAAACCTGTTTTGTGCTTAATCCTCCACATGATAGTAAATTTAAGAGCCCCGGTGAACTGACAGTTAATGACAAATCTTTCCATGGACCAGATGACGGAACAGATGAGGCAGGAATCCACCCGCTCAGACGAAGCCATCAGATCTCACAGTGAGCTTCTCCAGCGGGTCCAAGAGATGGAGCGAGTGGTGGAGATGGAGAGGAGACAGGTACGTTGTTAGGAGACCTCACAGGGTGATGAGCATGTGTCTGCAGGAGCTAACATGACGTCTGCTTCTGGCCCGCCAGGCTCTGCTGCTGCAGACGGACCGCCAGGCCTCGCGTGTGGAGGTCCAATCTAGCCGGCAGCAACTGGCAGAAGAAAAGAACCGAGGCAGACGGCTGGAGGAGGAATGTCAGCAGCTCAAAGAACAGACAGGTGAGCAGCATCAGGAGATACACACCAGTGTGCTGTGGCTGCTGCAGGGCTTCCTGTCATGTGTGTTCACCTGATGTCCTCCCTCACAGGCCTGACCGCTGCTCTCACCTCCACTCTAACGCTGTGAAAGGAAAGATGTTCATGTAGAAACACTCCCTGTCAGCCTGTTCCACAAAGCTGGCTGAGACGAGAGAAAAGGAGAAAATGCACAGCCCAGTTTGTCTGAACATGAAGCAGGATGTTCAGAGTTGTGTCAGGAAATAAAGAAGATGTTCAATTTACAATAAGAACAAACTGTAAATGCTCACATTTGAAAATCTGAAGCTGTGTAATAGTTGATATTTTTTCTAATAAATGACAGAACATATTATTCTGAACATCAGCTTTATGGTTAATTGATGGATCCAGTCAACAGGTGAGTGAGGCTCAGCTGTAAGGGAGTACAGAGGTTAAGTCAGTGATGAGAGAGGACCTGGAAGGACTGCAAAGTACCATACAGTCAGATCTCCATCATGTTTGGATGCTGAACTACATTTTCTATTTGATTTTCCAGCCATGAAGGACTCCCTCGTGTCCGAGTTAAAGAGCGAACTTAAAGTAAGTAGAGCGAGTGAAAGACGAGTAAATAATGAATTCTTGTCTATATGAGGTGTCAGGAAAGTTCCAGGACTGGTGTCTCAAATCCAAACTACAAACTACCAGTGGTCCCCGTCCCAGTACTCCTCCTGGAGTCTACCACCCTCCTCCAGCCTTCTCTTCACTCCTGGAAGGATTCTCCAGGATCCTCTCAGCTC